TTATTAAGGTTTATAATACAGACACAATTTTTTTAGTCTGGGCTGGCATTTGGTATACAAGTTCTCAGACTATGCAAATAATTTTAAAAAGCATTATATGAAACTATATATATAATTATATATTTTATACATTTATACCTAAACTCGTTAAAAATGGAACTGTGGGAATTGTTCACACTCCTGACTGAACTGGCTACATAGTCATACTGACTTACTGAAAAGCATTAGAATCTCGATACTCAGTTCTAGCCTGCAGTAGTTTTTGTAACCTGGACAGGACCAGTACTTTAGGGTATGAAGCAGTACTGGAAGTGACTTGTTGCTTCTCACACCTATACTATTATGGATCAGTAGAACTGTGTTGTGTATTAGACCTATTGGGCATTTTCCCATTATCCATTCACCACACCATTCCTCTGATCCTGAAGAGGAAGTTGCAATACAGCTAGATTGTGAAATCCTTCTGAATAAATGCGTGTCTGTCTGTGGTGTGCAGCAGAAAAGTCAGATTTCCAATGCATGTGTAGTCTTAGTCTGTCCCCTATAGGACCCTAAGTTGGCACCCTAATAATGAATGATTTTGCCAATCCAAAACTGAAAGCCTATGAGACCCTTGACATCATGAAAAGAAGGCCCGGTGGTAGTGGCACAGAAGATAGATAATTTGCCTGGAACCCAGGACTAAACTTGATTTATTCATGTAAGCTTCGATAACAAAATAGTAATGAATTTTGTCTAACAGTGACTTGTAGTTATGGCTAATTATATCAAAGCAAAATACTGTATATAAATATTAGCTAAAAAGTTACTGCACGCTACACCATGCATTCTTTTAAAACTGCATATGAATAATACTAAGTTTGTGATGTGAACTTTATAGAATACTGAGAATACACTGAAATTCGAGTCATGGATATTTTGGGTGTTATCTTGGATAAAGAGTTGTAACTCAGCGTTTTCATTTTGAGAGGTTTTTTTTTAAAATGTAACCTTATTTGCTTCCCCCCCTGTAGATGAAAGCCAGAAGACTCTAATATGGTGCTTATGTTGTCTGTACAGCAGTGAACCACAGAGCCCTGTGGAATTGAAGGCCAACAGCTGGATACGAGTAAGCGAATGAATCCTCCCCTAGACTGCTTTGAATTAAATTGATTATTTAAAGGTGCTACATCTACAGCATAGAGACAGCATGTCATTTCAGAAACCGCTCCAAAAACAGCCTCCATACATATTGTGTTGAAATGTGTTCCACTCTAATTATAACACAATCTGTGCTAGTCTGTCATTTTGAATGTTAAAAAGATGTGTTTAAATTAGAATAATTTTAATGGTCTTTAATACAGTGGAGCCCAAAATCTAGTAACTGTAAGTAAGAAATAAAGACCACAGATCATAAGGGAAAGAGAGTGCTATAAAAGAGAACCTTTCAATTAGGGTAAAATAAATAATCTGGAGAAATGCCATTGTTTGTTTTGAAAACAATTCATATTTGCTCTGTAATTTTGGGGTTTTTTCCGTTTTGTTTAATCTCTCTTTCCTTTGGAGAAACTAATTGTATCCAAATTTTCTTCAGAGACAGCTAGTGAAAAAAATCTTATGTGCAGAGTTATATTTAGTGAGTTACAAAGCATAATGAATCCTTAACTACTTTTATGCTGGATATAGAGTTTTTATGTAGGCACACATCTGTGCAAATTTTTTTTGCTTACACTCTGAACCAGCAAATAACTTAAGCGTATGCGTACTTAAATTACATAATACAAAAAGGTATTTGCTTAAATTCTTTTTTGTATCTATATTTTAGAACACATCATGTTTGTTGCATTTATGCACGCACAACTTGAGACCCTAATTAGGTTGTGATAAAAATACCAACAGTTAATGGAGCTCTACAGTAGCTAAGCCTTGTAGACAGTAGTTTATTGAGCTAACATAATGTATTTGTTAGTTTTTGCTAACAGTGTAGTTTTTAGAGGTACACATTGGTCCGATATCAGATAGGTGATGATATAAAGAAAACTGGCTGTATTGTATATTGGCCCAATGGGGCCAATAATTTGGCTTATAAATGCCTGTGCAGCTGCAGCACAGCACTCAGGCAGCGAAGAGCAGAGCCTGGCAGCATGGAGAGCTGCCTGTAGCTGGTAAGTTTAGTGTGGTGGAATGAGAGGGGGGAGGGAAGGAGTCGGGGGGGAGGGCAGATCAGCGCCCCCTACGGTGAGAGAGGAGGCATGGGCAGGCGCTGCCCAGGCAGGGCGGGGGGGGCACAAAGCTGTGGCTCATGGGGTGGGCAGGTGGCTCCCACTCCTGGTTGCACCCCAGGAGGGCATGGGGGTGGGGAGGAGGCAGCTCCCACCATTGCTTGCACCCTGGGAGGGCATGGGGGGGAGGGGTGTTCCCCCTGGATCTGCGCAGGGTGGGCTGGGTTGCAGCTGGCGCCGCACAGGGTTATTCCTGGCAGGGGCTGGGCTCAGAGCAGGTGCTGATGGCACTAGGAGGATGCTGCATCCACCCCAAATTTTGCTGCTTCTCTGTTCCCAGCACTGCTGCTGCCAGCCACCTGGTGCGTGGGTGGAGGCAGGGCATTGAGCTGGGGCTGCGCCAGGTGGCTGACAGCGGTGGTGCTGGGGGCAGAGCGGTGGCGAAATTTGGGGTGGATGCAGCATCTTCCCAGTGTTGCTGGCGCCCACTCCGAGCCCAGTCCCCACCGAGAAGAGCTCCACACATTCCCGGCTGCAGCCAACCCCGCCCTGCCCTGTGCAGATCCAGGGGGCTCACCGCCCCCTCCCCCGTGCCCTCTAAGGTGCAAGCAGTGGTGGGAGCTGCCTCCTCCCCCCATGACCTGCAGCTCTGCCCCACCTGGGCAGTGCCTGCCCCTGCTCCCTCATTTGGGGCATTGATCTAACCCCCCCACTCCCCTTCCCTCCCCTTCCACCACACCGGACTTACTAGCTGGAGGCAGCTGTATCAGAAATTGGATTGGTATCAGTTGATATGCCGCCTTAAATATCGGCTATCTATCAGTTTTGGCCCCCAAAATATCAGTGGACCCCTAGTAGTTCTTCTTCAGTTTCTTAGATAAAAAATTAGTACTTTTTTATCTAATAAACATTTGTACGTTTTACAAAGTAAGAGATTGATATTAAGGATGGGTACATAAATGAATGTGGGTAGTCCTATTTATCTTAATATGATGTACATATCTGTAAAGTCACATACATGCCTAAATATTTGCTAGACAGGCGCATACATCACATTTTTTTCAATAACTAAAGGCTAACCATAATCACATTTCTTTAGTTACTTCATGCATCTCCTGACCTACTTCCTTCTTGAGATCCTGTTGGAGCTAGTAGGCTTTGGAGCTTGTTCTGAAGACCCATATGTTTGGGATTTATTGTTCAGTAAAGTGGTTAAGTTTTTGGTAAAGGTGTTATGTAAAGGATACACACAGACACACGCACACCGGTGCACAGGTGCACGCGTGCGCACACACATTTTTTTCTTTTAAAATAGTTATGTCTTTTGCCCCTTCTTTTATGATGTTTCAGAGTCTGAAATAGAGAGAGGAGATTGTGCAGTCAAGCTTCATCTTGTTTGGTCACCTTCTGATCCCATGATTCTTATATTCCTTTCTGGCCAGTGGCCAGCTTCAGCAGGAGGGATGGGCAACCCAGCCTATTCCGTAGCTTAACAGTTGTTAGGCCTCTCTCCTGGGAAGTGGGGGTCATACGTTAAATCTCTCTCAGGTTGAGGAAACCCTAGAATTCACATTTCATTTTCCTACACAAGTGTTCTTGCCAAATGGCTATTGGGCAGCAAGTAGATCTTTTTTCTCCTCTGTTTTGGTTCAGAAAAGCATCTTCCTGATACATGATTTGGATTTTGAGATTGCATAGGTACATTGTATGCATCCTGAGGGTGGAAATTCATCTGCCACCAGCACCATCCATGTGTGACTATTGGTATCTGGTAGTGCTGTGTCCCATCCAGGGCAAAATAGGGTTGTCCTCCTGAAGTGACTCATTTTTTTTTTTGACCTAATGACCTCATTGGCTTAAATGGTAAAAAGACTAGCATTCAGGCAAAACATTTTTCTCATTTTTTTGGTTTTTTTCTTTTACCTAATTTTCGTCTTAAAAAATGTGCCAAACTTTTTCTTAAAGCTGGCTAGGCAAAATAAATTATTTTATTCTACCACCCCTTATGGCATCTTCCTTGCAGCTGATGGTGAGTATGATGTAAGTAAGTCCCAAGTCTGGGCTTTTGCAAACACGAACTAGAAATGATTTCACCATTTTCATACTCAATGCACATGGGAAACATTTTGCCCTGAAGGGTTGATTTTGAGAGCTGTCAAATTCATTTTTTTTAATGAAAATCCGATTGAGACTTTAGGAGCTTTGGATGTGTTAATCCACTTCTAGAATGTTTTACCTCATTCTTCCTGCAGAAGCTACATATTAAAAAGGATACAGAACTACATAAATATATATATAGATACAGAAGAGGCCAAGATGTATTTGTTGTGGGAACCTTAACTTTAAACTTTATCTTTTGTTTTGGAATACTCTGACAGGGATGTTAAATGTACAGTTCCCAGAGCTGCTTTATCTGGCCTGCCAAGCTATCAGTGAGCTACCAGAAGTTGAGGGGCATTGCCACAGCGGGATGGGGCCTTTCTCAGAATCTGAGGCCCACGGGCCCTGGTAAACATGGCCTTCAACAACAGGAAGGAGAGCAAGGCCTGCACTGATAAAGTCTTGCTTACCCTGTTGCTGCTTGCCCTGACACTGCAATCCCTGCAGCTGGCACTACCACTGTCCCCCACTTTGCTCCCCAACACCATTGTCTCCGGGCTGGATCTGGCCTTCAAAGGAGCCCCATGGCACTAAATGGAAAAAAGTGCAGATTGCTTCTTAGAAAACATTAGTAAAATATCAGAATTAAATGGCATCTGTGCCAAAAGTCCTGCTGACTTAAATGAGGCACTAAGGGTGCCTGTAGATGTGCAAAGAAGCTGTTCCAATACACTGTAATTACAGGATGTTGGAGTAGACTCGATTAATCAAGTCTGCTGGAGCATACTAATTAGCATGCTCCAGGAGTCTCTGTGTCTTGTGTATTCAGCATCCCCACATTTCAAAATGGTGGCAGGGGTGCTTTAACGAAAGCTTGTCAAATGTGCTTTAGTTAAAGCTCTCCTGCTGCTACTTTGAAGCGCAGGATACTGAATACGTGAGATGCTATGGGCACTTTAATTAGAGCAGCTCTCGGAGCTCCTGCACACACCCCCGGAGCATGTGTAAAGATGCCTTAAAAGAACTGCTGTAATTCTAATTTTAGATACTTACCCAGACAGATTCACTTATTATTCACGTATATCTCTAAAGATGAGGTGATGGATTTTACCTGAATTCCCAGAGTTTTCTTGCATGACACACAATCATAGGCACGTTGCACCTAAGATTGACATAAGACTCACTCTATGTGCTTTCTGCACTAGGTCTCTGTGCCTGCTCTATAAATGATGGTGCTAAAAAAAAAAAATCCCCACAAGTGGGGAAGACTGGAAAGAAGGTCCTACAGCTCCATATTTCCTTTTTATTTGTAGACAAATACATGGAGATAGATGAGCGCTTCCCAAACTCTGACAGATTGTGCAGCCACCAACGATACAACCTTAAATACCACCAGCAAATTTTTATCATATAAAATAATTAAAATAAATCTGTTAACGCATAACACTGACAGGTTGTCTGCATACTACTGGTGGTACCCATACTACAGATTGGGAACAGCTGAGATCATGAGCGCTGTGTGCCCCCAGAGACTGGAGGGGCATGGCGAGCTCCTGCAGGTGGTGGTGGTGCTGTTGGCAGCAGGAGTGTGGTGGCGGCAAGTGGGGAGGTCCTGCAAGTGGCTGTGGTGCTGTCAGAGGTGGGGGGGTGGTGAGCTCCTACTGGAGGTTGGTGACCACCCGCAGACACTGCCAACAGCAGTGGCTAGTGGTGGGGGTGCACCGCCACACTCAGGGTGTGCATGTGCACCTTTGTGCATCCCTTACATGTTGCCAGCAGCTAAGATAGATTATTATATTGTGTTTTT